ACAACAAACGCCCAGCCGTCTCATTAACACTTTGAGGCCTTTCCTGCTCAAGTTTGAGGTGTCCGAAAGAAACTAAAAAAACCAAAACCGAGTTAATCCGTTTAACATTTAGTAATCCAGCCCGATCGGATCGATGGCCTATTGAATGTGTTTGTGATTAGTAGCTGTATTGATTGCGGTGACATCATGTGAACACACCGGAGTGATGCTTATTTCGCCAACAGCTTGTCACAATCTTAATATATCTGTGGGGCTTTAAATGGCCTTTGTGACAAATATAAATAAAATATATATTTTAAATTGTTGCTGTTTTAAATTTGGTTTCTTTTGGATGAATTACAGGGCGGGAAGTTTTATTTAAACACATCTGTCGTTTGATTAATTGGAGAAATGTGAGGATAGTGACACAAAACTGCTTCAGATCCACAAGGAAATATATATTTAAAATAAATTAAATTTAAAAAAGCTGCAACACTTACACACTGATTCCTTTTTAAAGTCCTGTATTTTTTTTATATAGCAAACACATTATTATTTGGATGCTTTTCCTCCTTAACTCTCCTCTATAATATATATTAAATTTTATTACAATTATATAACATTTATTTATGATAAATATAAAAAAAAAATCTTACCGTATCGGTTATTGATCACAGTCTTCTTGGCGTATTTGGCACCTGTTGTCCTAAATATTTTTGGAGCCGTTACGCACACACACACGCACACACTCACACTCACAGGCCTGTTGTATTTAAGCGCCTATTTCTACACAAGTTGACTTTCATTTTGAGTGAAACCAAGAGCAGAGAGGAGATGTGCGCCCAATTCTTTCTGCCAATCGATCAGACTGCGGATAGATCGATATGGCACCAGGGCTATTGATCACCCACAGTCCTCTATTGCCGGGCGCTTTCAAATGCAAATGCACCTAAATAATAATCTGTAGCAACACACTAATTCCTTAACAAACTGCAGGGGAAACGCTTTGCAAACAAACATGTTTAATGTGTTTTTTCTTTAACATTAAGGCCTTTTAAAATTTCAGCTCTGACTGTGAGACAAGCAGATTTAACAGTAGGCTGCCGTTTAAAGATTTAACAGGACAAACAGGTAACGTTGAAAATGCAGGCTGACATTGATTTGGCCTGTAGCCTGTTGGAAGTTTGGAGAAAATGTTTCGAGGCGTATAAGTTTAAGGAGTAAAAAAAACAAATAAGTTGACACGATTTAGCCTAAAAGAAACACAAACACTCCCTGGAGAGCGAAATAACTAAAGTTTCAGTGTTAAATGTGCTCAAGTGCAAATTATATGAGAATTAGGAGCATCTGAGATTTTAAGGATATTCAAATCTCTCTCATCCCAACACACACACACGGTTACTTAAAGTAGAGCCAGAGGCAAACAAAGCAGATGTTGTGAGTTTTCCCCAACAAGGCCACATCAGTGTGTGTGTGTGTGTGTGTGTTTGGGATGAGAGCAGCAGCAGCAGCAGCAGCAGCAGAGCCCCGTCCCGCTGACTTGCTCAGAGGCCTGATCAATGCGACATTACTAAACACTGCTGCTTAACTTTTGCCAATAGCCAGATTCAAGTAAATATACTTTAGAATACATTAAGCGTGATGCATCAGCCACGGAGTCATTCAAGAAGTCATGAAAAGATTAGTCTGTCTCTATCGAGTGATTCCTGGGAAAATAGACAAGCTCATACGGGCTCACACTCACACACTGGGTTTTATAGAAACGCAGTTGAATAAAGGGTGTGAAATTTAAATTTGGGGCGAAAAAATACCTTCAATCATGAAGGATAAAAATTGTTTTATTATTACGTTTTTAAAACCTGCACACTTACTTTAAAAATTATGATGCTAATAATCATAATTTACATTATTTACACTGAATAAATACAGACTGAATAATCAGCACTCAGCCAAATGAAAAGCTCAGCTCAAAGTTTTAAAGCTGAGTGCACGAATGTGGTCATTTCCTGTAATGAAACTGCCTGTTGAGACAGGTCAAACACATAACAGGATACACCACCATTTTAGCAGAATGCATTTTGGGCTCTAATATCGATCCTTCAGAAATGCATTGAGCGAGGAGGCTCCGGGTTCAGCATTGATTTGTTGATCAGCACACGACAGCAGTGCTTACAGATAAAAACAAAATGCTCTGGGCCTCGTAAAAATGGTGAGGCTCAGTGACTGTAAAACTAATTGTACTGAATTACCAGAGTGCTACAGGAAAAATAAATGTAACTTTTTGGGACAGGATTTGACATTATTAACAAATTAAAAGGCGCAAAAGAGTGCTGAACAATCACTGCAGTAGTGTGTGTGTGTATGTGTATGTGTATGTGTGTGTGTGTGTGTGTGTGTGTGTGTGTGTGTGCGTGCGTGCGTGCGTAAAGTCGATGCCAACGTGGTGCTGAGGCCACCGCCTCGCCCGCTGTTATTAATATGAAATAAATCACCGGGTCTCTGCGGCATCGCCCCAGTCACACCGCAGCTATCGACACAGTTAATATTTCATATTGTATTCGCCATAGGATATGCTTATTTAAGTATTCGAAAACAGTACATTAAAATACAAATTAAAACTGAGCTCTAGGCGGACACATGGATTTTTAGAGTGTGTGTGTGTGTATATGTAGAGGGGGGGAAATAGCTGGGTTTACTTTGCATTCAAATTTTTATTTTGGCTTGGCTGAATGAACGATTTGACCAAGCTGCATAAAATAGAAGTAAACAACATTGATTGGAAATAGGAAAAGTACACTGATCAGTTCCCCACGCCCTGTTGACCCTGCTGTTTGAGCTGGTTTTATCCGCGTGGAGTTAACATGACCTCGCTTGGTGCAGTGGAGCCTATAGAGAAAAAGGAATTAGACACAGAGGATGGGGAGGTGGAGGTGGAGGAGTGGGGAGGACTGGTATGAAGTTTACAAGTTCTTGGTGAAAGTATAAAACTTTCCAGCGCGTTGTTTTGGGTTGTAAACCCTGGTGAATTAGGAGCAAGGAGCCAGCAATGAAAGTTAACATCCATCACCACCGCGACCAATAAGCTGCTCTGGCCGGCTGGCTGAGCACAGATGACGGATTCGCTGCTGTGCGGGCTTCGGTAATTCATTTTCGATAGCAGTGGTTGCTGGGATCAATACAGGGACATTAACCCAAGCGGACACTGCTGTTCTCCTGATGGCACAAGCCAAAAGCCACCATCCCCCGTTGGCAATCAGCAAAGACACAGTTTTTAGGGTCATTATTTGGAGGGGAAGAGGAGCTGTGTGCCAAGGCCGCCGATATCACAATTCATCAGTGGCGTTATAGATGGCCTTGACCTAACTGTTGGTAAACACTGGTCAGGGAAATTATTTTATGCAATTTGCAAATGATTAGTGATGCCACTTCCTGGATTGTTGGACTATTTTTTCCCCCCACAGCTCCGGGTCGAAATCCTAATGGCCTCATTTTACATAACATCGGTGTAAATGCCAGGACTTCTCACTTGGTAACATAGTTTACAGAGCAACTGAAGGCCTAAGGACTGCCAACACACTCACACACACATCACATCTGCAGAGACACACTCCACAGTGTGTTCAAACATGTCTGAATGTGTCACAGAGGTGTTGATGCTGTGATTTTCCAGCACTAACACGTGTCACTTGTATCAGCATCTCACCAGTGACAATAAAACAACCCTGCAATAAATATGTGTGTGAAGCTTATAATTTTGGCAGATGTGCGTAATTTCTGAGGCAATATATGGACAAAATAACACGCCATATTTTTACTTATAACTCAAATTAAATACAGGACAAGTCCACTAAAATTTAAGCTTCACATTGCACCCTTATCACCATTAACATTTTGATTATTGATTGATTATCCACCCCATAATATGAAGCAACACCTGCATTAAATAAAAGCAATATTTAGCTTATAGCACTTCATACTTTACTCATTCCACCCTCCAAAACGCGTGACTTATTCGTTAGCCCTTTCTCCAGAATCCAATCCCTCGATCTCAACCTGCTGCTGTATCGCATCCATATTGCGGGCTCCTGCAATAGGCACCAACCTATCGATGCATCTCCTGATCCATACATACTTTGACATTGATGGATTGCTGACCTGGATTGACGTCAACGAGCGAGCGGCAAGTTCTCATATAGAAGTTTTGTAAGAGGCACGAGAACATTATGTGAGGGAGTTGGATGCTTGTGGCCTGGATGCGAGGAGCACGGATGCGTGAGGGGGTCAAAGCCTAGAAGCGGTGATGAAATGAGACTGGACAGATTTATTCAGTGAGATTTGCTGGAGGGAAAAATAAATCACATGTAAGGAAAAGTTATGTGAAAGTTAAGATTTGATCGCTTACTTTTCAGATTGCGAGGAGAGACGCACGTATGGTTCAATTGGGAAGCTGGTTAGCCTGTGATTTAACCGTGTCAGAGGTCATGCAGCTGTGTTTTAATCTCAGAATTTATTTACATCTGTAGATGCAGTATTTTTTCCAGCAGACATCAGGAAACGATGCATCTCCATTTTATGAATTTAAATACTCAAAGTGGAGCTGTGACCTCCTCTCCAAGATCACTTGTGATTTTCTCATTCCCATCGTGGCCTGATGTGACACACGTCAATTAATATTTAACCTTCAGCAGAGCCATCACATGTTTCTGGCGCCGCGTCCAACGCTTTTATCAGACAAAACAAGGCGCGAGCTGCTCTTATCCATCTGTAAATGTTGCACACACTGCGGAGGATTGCGCTTCTGTGTGTTATCTTCACAAGTGTCTAATGCAATCGTTTTCAGGAATTCGAGGTCCACTGTGCAACACGAAACAACCCATGACACAGGGGCCAGTGACGTCAGGTTGGCCCCAGACGCGCGAGTGCGAGGATACACCGCGGGGGCGCGCACATGCGCACAGGCTCGGTCTCATCTTAACATGAGCGCGGGCGCGTCAATATACACACAGAGAGGAGAGCAGCGCTTTGGGTATAGTAGAAGGTGCTCTACAGCGAGAGAAATCCGGGCAGGCGCAGACACCTTCACACTGAGCAGAGGTTTTTGCGGCGCAGTTTGTGTGGCGGCCGGGACCCGATCTTTTAAAACCATGCTGGATTGACTGCAGAGAGGCAACTACAATCAATGGCTTGGCTTTGAAATCGTTGAAAATTTATTGGAAAGGAGTGTGAGACAGAGCGACAGTGAGAGAGGGAGAGAAGCGAGGGAGAGAGCGAGAGAGTGGCGAGAGGGGTGGAAATAAAGATCCTTTTCAACGATGGAGCTTACAATGGAAAACATTGGAAATCTGCACGGTGTATCTCACTCCCATCAAACGAGCGACTTAATGAACTCCCCGCACGCGCGCCAGTCGTCGGCGTCGCATCGGAACTTGGTGTCGCACGGTCGGTCAGCCATGGTGTCCAGCATGGCCTCGATACTGGAGGGAGCAGGGGACTACCGCACAGACCACGCTTTGTCTGGCCCCCTGCATCCGGCAATGACCATGTCGTGCGACTCCGGGATGAGCCTGAGCAGCACCTACACCACGCTGACACCGCTGCAGCACCTGCCCCCCATATCCACCGTGTCGGAGAAATTTCACCATCCACACCCACATGCTCACCATCATCCGGCGCACCAGCGACTCGCAGCCGGGAACGTCAGCGGCAGCTTCACCCTGATGAGGGACGACCGAAGCCTCGCCTCCATGAGCAACCTCTACGGCCACTACCCCAAAGACATGTCCGGCATGGGGCAGCCTCTATCCCCTCTGTCTAATGGTCTCGGGTCTTTGCACAGCTCCCAGCAGACTCTCAGCGCCTATGGTCCTGGAGCTCACCTCTCCAACGACAAGATGATCTCCTCGGGGGGCTTCGAGTCCCACGCAGCCATGCTGTCCCGGGGCGAGGAGCACCTGGCCCGGGGTCTCGGGGGCCACGGGGCCGGGCTCATGACATCCTTGAACGGCATACACCATCACAGCCATCCGCATTCTCAGGCAAACGGGTCCATGCTGTCAGACCGGGACAGGCAGACGGTGGTGGGAGGCGGGCAGGGAGGTGGGTCAGGGCAGGTGGAGGAGATAAACACCAAGGAGGTGGCACAGCGAATAACGGCAGAGCTCAAGCGCTACAGCATCCCCCAGGCCATCTTTGCTCAGAGGATCTTGTGCCGGTCCCAGGGAACTCTGTCTGACCTGCTGCGGAATCCTAAACCGTGGAGTAAACTCAAGTCTGGTCGGGAGACGTTCAGGAGGATGTGGAAGTGGCTCCAGGAGCCCGAGTTCCAGCGGATGTCGGCGCTCAGGCTTGCAGGTGAGTGAGGAGACAGCTCCCAACCTGAGTGATGTGGAGGGATCAATTAGAAGTCAATGTGGCGAGACTGTCAATAGCTGCTCAAACAGACATTACTAGAAGTTATTAGTCGATTGTATCGAGTAAAACTTCATCATGACAGTTGGGGTGTTAAATGTTGGGGGGAAATCTATATTTTGATTGATGCTACAATCCATGATAGTATAAACAGATGCTGTGTAACACTGGAGGTGATATAAACAAAAGCGAGGACGCATCTCTCCGAGGTGCAGATGCACTTATGGCGGTTTTACGCACGGATACAGCATAGATACACACACCCCTCTCACTCTCACACACGAACCAAAACACACCAAACAAAGGGAATCAAAGCAGGATGTGATTACATCTTTCAGCTTTTACTTTAAAAGGCAAAACAAATCCACACACTGAGATCACTGCAACTCAGATACTCAGTTTTACTACGGACTCATTTGTGTCAAACAAACTTGTAGTAATCTGGCACTCCCCCCTGTCAAATAAGCGCGTCGTCGCAAACAAGGATCGTCTGAGGCCTGGCCAAAGAGTCGGGGGAGCATGACCTCCTATGGATCAATATTTCAGGTCCAGGCGTCCCCTTTCAGAGTAGCACACTGATAAATGATCGATTTGGATCTGAAAGACAGAGACACAAACAGATGCGTCTTTCTCTGGCCTGTGTTGTCTCCTCTGCACTCTGGGATATCTTGTCTCTAAAGTTGGTTCAGGGCATGTTTGGCCAATCTGATACTGAGATTTGTGATTATTTTGCTTTGTGAGATTGTGAGATCATTTTGTGATCTGATAACAGAAAGGACTGTATTTCTTTTTTCAGTTATGTGACACAAACCCTCACTGACTCTGTCTTATCGTTTCCATCCATCGTTTAGATTTTTATTGCGCAAAGATTATCACACTAAACACTGTGATCTGAACCCACATTCCCGCCCCCCTTTAAACCCTTTAACACTTTCCACCTGATTAACAGGACGTAAATGAAAACGAGAGACGTCGCAGTGGGGTTAAAACAGAGCTGTGAGTGAGAGGTCCCCTCTCATTGATGTTTGTGTAAAGGCCCTGTTTAGACGTGCTGCGCTTCCAAACGTCAATCAGCTCTTCTGTGTCGTATTTCAGCGAACAGTTCAATTAAGCAGATATAGTGGCATATTTTAGTTCCAGTCAATGCCCTATTGAAAAGCACTTAATGGCATGTAAATTGTTCCTTTGCGCATTTAGTGGGGTTCTGGTAAATAAAGATTTAAACACTCCACAATTGTCTCTTTAAGTGCCACTGCTGTTAAAGCTAATTGGGCTGTGGGGTTTTATATCTTCCACACCCGGCATCAGGATAAAACCCCCCCAATTCAATTGACATGTTGGAGTGGCACAGTCCTGAGCAGTGCACACCTACTGCATATTTTACTGTGGTCAGGTCCAGGGCAGCCTATAGGTGTAGCGCGTGAACGTGCGTGCGTATTTGGTTGTAAAATGGAAATTAGGGCTGCTCTCTTATCTTAATTTGATCCAGTGGCGATGGATGTTTTAAATTATTCTATTTTTAATATATATATTATTGGAGATTTCTACCACATGTGTTTATTTTTTGGAGCAGCAGATTTTTGTGTGCATTGTGCATTAACCTGCAGTCACAATAGGTCTCAAAGAAAAACGCCAGTTGGGCAAAATGACAAATGACTCGTATGTAAATGCGCCGAGCAACATTTTACTTATTGCATTTAAAATCACCATTATCCTCGGTGCGCATGTGGGCTGGGAGTGGGAGTTGAAGGGGGGGTTGTGATGCTGAAAGTGAGGCTGGGCCATACTCGCTCGGCCACATCAATCAATAAATTCAAATTACTATTCCAAATTCATCACAGTCACACAAATCAATGCAGCTGCCCTGCTTAGCTAATGTGAAAATGCCAGTGTCTGCACACACACATGACAATCCACCCCTGAAACGAAAAGCAGAGCAGAGATAGGCCTGTTTGAGGGGGGGGAATGTTGTGTGCCCTTCACGCTCAACATCTCCTAATGCAACGAGGGCAAAGACCCACAGGCGTCCCACCTATTGTGCTCTCTCCATACGCAGAGCTTCAACACCCAGGCCCTGTAAAAAGCTTTAACCTTTGGATGTCTTTTATTTTCCGAGCATCTTAAAGCATTCTCCCACTGCTGTATAAAATAAATAAGCAACTTCATTGTAAAGCTGCACAAATAAGAAAGACGCGGGCAAAGTGAGGGTTTGGGAGGCATTTAAAGATCGCATTAACGATGAAAACAATTCGTCTTTGCATCTGTGTTGAATTCCACACTCCATCTCAATGTATTTGGTCGGGTCAATACAGCCCTGATCGATAAGGATAGCCAGTGCATCTATCAATTATCCCGCCTCAGCACTCTCTCCCATTGGTCTCTCCCCCGGAGCAGAGGGGGGAGGCGGGAGCCGGAAAAAAGGGGGGAAAGAGGACAGCTGTTAGGGAAAAAAAACGCTATTGCACACCTTTTTTTCTTTGCTGTAATCATGCTCCGATTGTGTGTGTGTGTGTGTGTGTGATGCACTCTCACTCATTTCTCCTGTGGGGTGTGAGTTATACAGTCATTTAGGTTGTATTCACGCCTCTTTCCAGAGCTGGACAACACACAAAATGTTTAAATACATCACCAAACGTGCGGTTTATTCCCACAAATGGCGCATTCCTGTTCCTCCTCCTTGCCAGTGGTGAGGGTGCATACCAGGGTCCCTCTCCCTCTCCCTGGACATAAAGAGGAAGAAGAAGCGCAGTTGGTTTATTACCATTTGAATGGCCGCAGCACGTGCCAGGGTGTGCAGGTCAAGACCCACGGGTCACGGAGGAAAAACATTGTTGAGAATGAGGGTGGGAGGCCTCTATTCATGTTTCAGTGGACTACATGCAGTTTACACGGGCCTAATCCTGGAGAAATCCACCACCACCACCACCACCACCACCCGCATCACCATCACACTGCACTTTCACCACTGCTATATTCATACTGCTTGGTAAATATATTTGTTGCCTTCCTTACAAGCTATACTCCTAAGGTCTTAGAAAAAAAGACCAAATTCTGCAAATTAAATTTTATTTTACAAGGTTGTAAACTGTTTTTAATTTCCCTCTACAAATAATCCAGTAAGAGGAAACGGTTTATTCCTACAGCCCAGTTTCCCAGGCGCTGTCCAAGGTGCTGATCTCAGCCTCCATCCACCCTGAGCTGCAGGATCCTCTCTCCAATTTGAGGACAGTTCAAGGTGGTGAACTGGAGTTTCACCAATGCACAGTTAACAGCGCTCGTGTAGGCCCTAAACACCATTATTTCATCCAACAGCTTCCACCCATCGATCAATATTACAATCCACAACCGCGTCAATCACACCACCCTGCACCCTACTTTCCACTCCAGCACGAAGCCAACATTTAAATCACATCTTTTGCTTCTTTTTTGTTGCAAAATACACAGTGACTTTTTTATTTTTTGGGGGAGTCACACCAAAATATCCAGGAGCAACAAAAATAGTCAGGTGTGGTGATACTTCCTTTTTTTGGGTCACTTAAGCCGGGATAATGGGTCTAATTGGATGGGGCATTAAGATGTGATTGATGCGGGTTAATCTAAAACAGGATTCTTTTTTTCATGAAGAGATGGCTTGATGTTAGCCCGCGAAATGATCGATTGGTACTTTAATAATTGATGTGTGAGGGAAGATAGGGGGGGATAAACAGTGCAGCTGCGGTTTTCAGAGCCTCGTTCGTTAAGCACAGCAACGTGTGCTGTAAGTACTGAGAGACGCATGTACAAGCATCGCCTTTGAAATCCTGCGGTGGGAGAGCAACAGTCATTTTCTTGAGGCTATACCTCGAGGCTATTTTGTTTAAATCCCGGGTTCAGTGTAGCTCATACCAGATGAAATGACATCTCACGCCTTGCATCATTATCTGGAGCCCGGCGATGAGGAGGCTGGGCTGCATGGGGCTGGGGGGGGGGGTCAATTCAACTTTAAATCTGCATAAATCTTCATGTCGTGGGCTGATGTGAATATTCATAACTGGATGCATCGTGGGAAGTGATGAAGGAAAGAGGGGGAAACACCTACACATGCACCCTGATTGATTGCGTTTAGAAGGTTACAGCTTCCTTCTTATTCACTCCATGGCTGCATATAACGCAGGACAATATCATAGCAGCAGCTACAGCCTGCGTACGTGTCGCCTCCCCGTTTCTTCTCTCCTGTGTGTATGTGATCGGGATGTAGAGTGCGTCTGCGCCACATTGTTAAGGCCGATCTGGCGAGCCCTGAATCTGTATCGATTTCCATTCCCCGGCCTCTGCTTTCCATCTCTGGAGCTGCGCCATGCAGCCATGCAACCCCCCCTCTCCATCTCCACCATGCAACACCATTTCTCCCATTAACAGCTCACCCTTCATAACACACAGCAGAATGACTAATAAACGCATGCTCTCACGCTGGCTTGTTGCACACCTCGCAGCATGCCTTGGTCAAAACACTCAAATGCTGACTTTTACAAAAAAAATTTGGAGAGGTTTAAGCAGCTCCTGCTCCGTTTCTGTGATGGAGACGGATTAGCAGCACGAGACGACTTAAAGTTCAGAGTCGTGTAACCTCTGTGCGCTCATTATACATCCCACCCACACGGCTCTGACCAAGTCGACCTTATTATTCAAAATAATGTAATTTTAATAGAAATCAGATTAGCGACAGAAGCAGGAGCTTGCACTGTCTCCCACATCTTCACCCATTTCTCCTTTTTAGACACACACACACACTCTCTCTCTCTCTCTCTCTCTCTCTCACGCGCACACAGAGTTCCAATTCACACGGGGGGCGTGCTTAGCAATTATAAATGCAGCAGAGGTCTGGACTCTGTACAGTCTCGAATACCGTCTCTTCTATTTTAGATGATCAATTCCTACGCTACTCCGTCGCCCCCTCGCCAAAC